GTGTATTAACATTGTGTGTGGTAATATAATACAATCGTATCAGGAGCGTGCACTGCTCGCGATTTGAGGGCATATCTCTCAAAAACAAATTGATGATTTAGTAGTTACAAGTGAACGGTTCAAAGATCAATATTGCATCAATACGATGCATGCATTTCACGTACAAATATAAAATTATTAATATGCACACATTTATATGAAATTTAATACATACGTTTATTCATTTTCTATATATGAAAATAACAACAATTTACCTCTCATTTAAAGGTGCACTTTAATCGAATCCTGCACCAGAAGCATTGTCACCTTCTCGAATTTCAAATAATGATTGTATATATCTTTATTTCTGCTGACATGGAACCAAAGAATCATAAAGGTGAGTTACTAAAATTACTAAACTATTAGTTAGGCATTTAACTTCTTGTAATATTGATCAAATAGTTACACTACTAAAATTGATTGAATATATAATAGTATTTATAGCATTTGTTCAAAATATATAACTATAATTAAAAATAGGTATATATATATATATATATATATATATGTATGTAAACTACCGTATTTATGAAATAATATCAAAAATTTTATCATCATTATATTCAGGAAGTGCTTGATCCAAACGCAGGCCTAAAATGGGTACAATCCTTGCTTTTATTTGTGTTTATTACTTTCGAATTTTTAATCTCAATTTTTTCATATTCAATTTTTCTCTAAAAGAAATTTTGAATATTTTATTTACCTTTTCGCGGTTAAAGCTCATTGTTTATTTTTTAGATTACATTATATAATAATAAGGAATCATTTAATAATTTTGATTCACAATCATGAGCAAGCATACTTGCAGCTAATTTTAACTTTTTCATAGCTTTAGTTTATTGATATCATCGTTTTCTCATAAAATCCAAATTTATAATATATTTAAATATCTAAAAAAATTCAATAAATTTTAATCTTTTGTGTTAATATGCAACTCGTGGTTTCTTTTTAATCACTAGTTAAAAGTAAAATGTTTAGTCTACGTTTTCGCAAAATTTCTTTGCAAATGATTTGTTTTGCAAGACAATTTGTCAAGCTGATTGTTTACAATTATCAGAAATATTAATGGACATATAAAAATTATGTACATTAAACTACATATAACAAATTTTCAATTTCACACCGTCCACTTAAAAATTATTGTGTAAATAATTTAATAAGCTAGAAAACTTACTAAAAATGTCAAATGAGGAAAATAGATGTTATTGGTGTGGGGTTAGATATATGAAGAAAGATAGTTAACATTTTATTTCATTGCTTACTGATTCTTTTGAATATTAAGTTTTTTTTTAAAAAAATTCTTTATAATAAATTGATTTAAATTTGTATTAAGTTAATGATCTTAATGACATTGGCGATAATTTTTCAAAATCAATTTTATCTATTACCTTTTATTCGCATATTAATTATTCATTATCTTCTGTTACCAAATAAATTGATTTCATTACTAAATAAACCTATTTTGAATTGATTCATAATAACCTGAAACAAGTATAATTTGAAGATTTGTTACATTTGAAATCTGCTGTGATAAATATTGCGTACTGATACATAATTATAATTATATTTCCCTAGATCCGTTTGTAATTTGGACTTAGAACCGATGAGTCAGGAACATTATTATTATCTTAATGAATCCGATTTTGATTTAATATCGCGGACTAAGCGATTACTAAAGACGCAGTCGGAATAATTTCATTTAATTAATTATATTCACCTACTTATTATTTTTAATAGTTCTGCATTAAATTTAATGCAGATAGTGAAATTATAGAGTTCATAATTTATTCATAATTTATTACTTAAACTAACCAGGAGGAACGTTTTCGCGGAATATATAAATAGACCTTTGATCGATTCTCTGAAAATAATTTAGATTTTGTCCAAAAAGCAATTAAAAATTTAATATATAAAATTTTTTAACAATGTTGTTGAAATTTTGTAAATTGTAAGTTACACATCTTACTGTAGTATCTATTGCTCTGTTTTCTCAATTTTGGAAATATGAAGTTAGAAATTTTCAATGTTTAAGTATTATAAATTATAAATTATTTTCTAACAAAAATGTATTAATTTAATTATGAAGATAACTATAATATTATAGTTAACCATATTATATATTTCATTCATTATTTCATATTTTTCAAATTTTTATGTTTAAATACTAATAGAAAACAATGTAATAACAATTATTTAAATTTTGAATTTGTTTGTAATTTGAAGTAATATCGCCCATGATATATATAAAAACTATAATTCAAACTTTTTACAGATTTTTTTTTTAATTTTGGACATTGCATTAATGAATATTATAAATATTTAATATACTTATTAAATTATAAATTATTGATAATATACGATTCAAACGGCACAACTATCGAGCTATATCATTTAAATATATATCATTTAAACGTAATACGTTTACTAAAATAATTTTAGTAAATATGTTTTAGCAAAATTTAAATTTTTCTAAATTTCTACAATGCAGAAGTATTGTGCAAGTTTTTAAACTTAATACTGCATTTTAATTGAATTGATCCAATTGGAATTTTTATGAAGTGACAAATCTTTATCTAATTATTTTGCGTCATCGATCAAAGTTCTTTGATACATCGCACAATCTCTAAATCTTATTGGAAACATACCTTTAATATGTCGAAACGACTCATAATCTTTTTACTAGTAAAAAATCATATGCAACAACTTTATATCTGCATTTTTCAAGATCTTTCATAATGATAGCATCTCATCTGTGCCTACGATAACAAAATTCATTTAATTTTTTTAATACTTTCTGATGCGATAAGAAATTTTCAATAACTTCAGGTTTTAATAATTGTTACATACATTTTTAATATTTAGCTAAAACTTTTGAGTCTCATTAGTAAACTGCGAAATATTTACCGTCATCTCTTATATAAGACAAATCGTCTGATTTGTGTACAGAATTTTGAATATATAATTATTTTATATATTTTAATATTAATGAAAAAGCTTCTTTATTTGTGAAGCATGTAAAAGCAATTTTTACCTCTATGAAAGTCATATTGAAAAAATAGAGTTTATAGAATATATAATTGAACATATTTTCCAAAAACTCTTATTAATTATAAACACATTAATAATTATGTGGTATTCGAAAAGACTCCACAAGGATGGTATTAAGGTTAATAAAATATTTATCAAATTATAATACGATAGTTCAATTCGCCATAACCCGGAAAAATAACACCATCTAAATATTTTGGTATTTAATATATTATAAATAAAAATTATTATATTATCGGGGTAACAGATGAAAATATATATTCTGAATTAAAAAACTATTTCAAAACTACAGCGAATAATATATGAGTAAAAATGTTCTTGTTATCAATAATTCTAAAGGCAAGGGCATTCATGACAACTACACTAATTATCAATAACAAAAATAATATTAGGGCAATCTTGAATTTATTAGATGTCAAAATAATCTTGATTAGGACATTTACTACTAGTTTTTACAATAATCAATGTCCAATTAATGATAAGATAAAGATTTTTTATATTACGTGACGCAAATGACTTTTTTAGTAAGTTATATGGTTATAAAACTCAGCACCAATATGGAATAGATTTCGAGAAGTCGATCTGTTTATTGTGTACTTTTAGTATTTTTAATTGAATTATATTAAAACTGGGTGTAAGTTGCATTTTGCTTTAAGGCAAGTTACATGAAGTTCCAGATATGAACCAAAAGCTACTAAACATTTTTGGTAACAGTGTGTCTGTAAGGCAAAAAAATTTACTGATAATTCTTAGCATCATGCTAATTATAAGTACGAAAACTATAGCCTGGCAGGCTTCAGCATTCCACGTTATCATCCCCTATCTAGGGGTTTGAAAATGCAGAAATATCCCATAATTATGTGCAGGGCTAAAGCCTGCCAGACGATGGTTTTCGTACTTATAATCAGAATATCAGTACAAAATTATTTTTCTTAAATTAACGAATTAAAAGTATAAGAACTCTGCATGTCGCAAAAAGCGGTTGGTTTCTATTTCTAAAAGTACCTTTTTCTAAATGTCTTATATATACTAATGGGTGCACATTATTAAGAGATAATGTAATTTCTATAATACTGAAGCAAAATTACAGACGTTTCAGGAATTGGTATTATAATGAAGAGCAGATTTATAATTTGGAGAAAATAACTCGCATAGATTTTCTTTGTTGAATATTACTATGTTGTAATTATAATAAACTGGACAACATCCTGAAACCTTATCGTCATTTTGGTATATGTGGTTCCTGAAAGCGAAAGTAATATTTTCTCTGCATGTCGTACATTTAAGCATTACCTTTGGCACAAAATTTCATTTCATCACATAAAAACGACAGTATAAAAATAGGTTTACTCAGCTTAATAAATCTAATTGCCATCTAGAATTATAAAGAGAAACAAAACGCACATACGAATGAGTGCTAGCGATTGTTCAAACCAACGTATACCTCGAACGAAAATATTTATTTTGTAAACAATTTTATAAAACGATAAGGCACTGCGCAAATATTATGAGATACAAATCTTTACCTCTACTAATTTTTCTTAGAATCTACATTTTAAAATCATAACAATTTAGTAACAAAACTTTTTTTACAAAATTGCTATTATTACATTGACAGTGATAATCAGCAGTACGGATTAAATTTAATTCATTATTATTAAATAAAACATGTTTTTTTCTCAAGAATTATTTTATTTGCAAGGTATCAACATACACATCGATGAATGACCGTTTTGTATTTTATCATTCATCAATTGGATATGTTTGATAATTATAAACAAAATATTGTATTTTATATATACAAAGTAAATGAGTTTAAATATATTGCATAACAAGTAAACAAAGATAATTTTTTTTATCAATAATAACTTAATATAAATCGACATTGATTGAAATCATTTTTAGTTGCCGCATTTAAACACACTTGGCGCACTGGGCAACCATACAGGGCAAAAATCAATTCACCAGCCCCTGGCACTAATATATAAATTGTCTTTAGTACAATAACAAAGTTCAGACTATTATAGATTTAATTTTATAAACCCATTTTCAATATCAAAACACATGCGCACAGCACTTGCACTATTATTTTCATCAGAAAAATCACACTTTCAAAATATACAAAAATATCTGTACAAAAACTATTATTAAATCTTATTTCCACTTTATGAGGGAAATGGACACACACGTACCATAATGATTCACAAAATAATAGCCATTCTTAAGTAATTTAATTGAAAGAGAGTTATATCATTTTGTAACACATCTAGTATCATAAACTCTTCTAGTCAATGACGACATAAGGCAAAATGGTGATTAGTTCATTTTGGTACGAACGTCTTTGTACCACCTCATGCCACTCTTTGAATTCATTTCTAGAACACGAACTACTATTCTCTGAGTTCCTTTCTGAGAATTGAATGTTAGAATGTACAAGAACACAATCACTATCTGAACCAGGATTTTTGGGCAATGGCATGTGCAAATTGCCTTCAGGAGTTGTTCCATACTTCGGCACGCAGTCAGCCCTATCCAGAGGTAAATTTAATTCATTTTGACTAACAACACCATGATCACGGTTACCATTCACACCTTCAATAAATGAACAATGCAATCTATCTAACATTTCTGAAGTTATATTTTCTGGTTCATCACAATACTTAGCTTTTGCAGGACAATTGGGATCAATAATTGTTTTTGGAAGTGATGGTGGAGGTAAGGGAACAGCAACAAGTTGAACTTGGTTATCAGGAGGCTCTTCTTCATAATCTTCATCAAATATACTTCTTTTAGGCACAGGAGCTATGACATTTACAGAAGGTACAGGAGAAGCAGGCTTTTCAGTACATGTGCAAATTACTTCATCTGGATCTTCAGTCAACTGAAATGATCGGTCTATTGGTGGCAGTTGTGCCAGAATTTGTTGTATAGTTAATGGTCCTTCAGGAATTGGTTTCTCGGGTGTTTTAGATCGGGGTCGTTTCTTCACATTTATTATCGTGGGAGCACTAATACTTGTTGAAGGAACTTCATCAATTATAATATCAGGTTCAACTATGGGTTCTTTTTTTATTACTGTTTGTGGAAGAACATTAGGGACAGACAATGGAGGTTTGGCAGGTGATTCTACTTTGACTAATGGAGGAGTAGATGAAGTTAAAGATAATGAAGGTGTGATAACTTGACTTAGACCCTGACTTTTACGATTTTGCAGATCAGCCAACAGTTCTTTAGTAGTTTTAATTTTAGTTTTGCCAGATATAGAAGCGATTTTCTGCTTTATATCTGAATAGGAATTAACAACTGGCTTCCCGATAAGTTTTGATCCTTTTTTGCGACCGCGCTTTTTGGGTGCAGGTTTGTCTTCAACGATAGGTTGAATGGCTGGTGTTTCATTTACAGGAAGAATTGTAGCAATAGGCGGTTCTTCACTTTGTATATTATTTAATTTACCTTCAAAAGTTAAGTCAGATTTTTTGGGAGGTTGCGTATTTTGTAAAACTCCATGTTGAAAATATACAGCATTGCTCTCTGATGTGTTTGATAAGCTATCAAAATCGGAAGGTAAAGTTTTATGTTTTTTACTAGATCGCTTTTCTTTTTTGTGTTTAGCTGCGGCCGTCGCTAACGATTTGTCAGCATCGGACGTTGTATCTAAAGATATCACGGAATGAAAACTAGAATTTGAATTTTGGTTATCTAACACCTCTGTAAAATCTGAGAATCTGTTTGATTGTGAAACTAGATCTGATCCTAATCTACGCTTGACAGGAGCAGTTTGGACTAACATGGGGCTCTGGGAACGATCAGACACGTATATGGTAGTGATCGGGCGCTCGTTCTTTATAAGGGGACTCTGGGACCTACTATCGGGCCGGTTTGTGATCCGATCACTAGTGCCGTTCCTGAAGGCCACGGCTTCAATGTGTTGGGAATATTGATGCACATTATTATTAGTATTTCGCACAACAGAACTAGTTCTCTGTTGATTTTCCACCGAAGCAGAGCCATTTGATAACGGTAAGGCAATTTTACGCCACTTTTTCACTAAACCTTTGGCACGATTGGCGAGTTCTTCATTACTAGTCTTTTTGCGAAGCACATTCACGAGTTTCCCCAGTCGGGTGGTTTTAAGCAGTTCTTCAGTGACTGACGTTTGTTCCAAGGTAGCGATGATTTCCAAAACTGCGCGCATATCGATAACATTATAATCCTCATCCAATGCCTTCACTAATCGTTGAGATAATTCAGGTACAGAATTAACCATTTAAATTATCAAAATTGTGATATATTTGAATTATAAAACTCATTCAACATGTTACGGACTGGCTGTCATCACTTTACGCGAACCCCGGTCGCCATATTGCAAGTAAGGCGCAGTACTGACAACATGCCGCCCCGAGAGGCAAAGAAGAAAGCCACCTGCCCGACGTGCCCGACCTCTCTTCAACCACACTCCATATTCGTAGAGTTCACTCCGTGGTCGCACATGGCGCGCACTTGTTACCTTGTTAAATATCTAATCAAATCCCACCGAACCAATGCCAAAATCAGAATGATCAGCTGGATCAGCTGTTTTCAATCAACATTAGAACAAGTCGCCGATAATAAATTATTTATTTTACTTATTAAACCACTTTTGTATTATTTAATCATTCTGTTTTAGATTTGATTGAAAATATTATTTTTGAATTAAAAAAACTTAACAATATTTATTATTGATGAAAACTTCGTAACAATCTCTTATTTTTTACATAAAACGTTATTTGAATTATAATAATTTCGATTGCATTCTGATTTACTCTTTCGTCGTATTTTTTACAATTTAAAACTGATTGGTTTGCAGATGACTAAAATCTATAAAAGAAGAAATATGTATACTCTTCCAAAAATTCCCATATAGGCAAAAATTAGAATGCCAAACAATATCTATAAAATATGCACGATATATATCGTAACGATCGTAACTGATTCTAGTTGATTTAAGTCTGCTAGCATAGCAATGCACTTGTGCAGTCGAATCCCATCCCCGGCAAATTCAATTTCTGCAGTTATGGTTGCTAGATGTCTCTACTTGGCTCGTTGGTTGTCAAAATTGTTTGCGGTTAAATTTGATTATAAATAGGTTATGTTTTGATGAAAATGATATACAAATAGCATTATTTCAAACGTTGAGTTATAATATTTATAATATTATTAGTTTTGTTTATTTTGCAAATCTGGATGAAATTAGTGACATCATGATAACCGCCTCCGAACCTTTGGTGAGAAGTAATTATAATTTTTTTCTTCATTTTGAGAGCAGATTTTTTCATTAAATTGAATGAAAGATTCTCAGCTCGAAGTTTATTAAAACGCATTGTTTTTAATTGCCTGTGTTTACCTTCAACCGTTTTTTTATGTTTATTGTTATACTACTATTTATGATATCTGCACTCAACTATATATACTTGTTTATCTATGATACACATATATATATAACATAATGCTAATAATTTCTATATTGAATTACAATGAAAAAACTATTCCCATATATCCTCAATATAATTATATAATATCTTTCTATTTCTCTAGGAATTTATTCCTCGAGGTCGACAGGCGGTACTAACTCATTATGAATCTCAAGGAGATGCTGCTACAAGGAATTTACATTCTGATACCTTTCTAACAAATCAGTTGCAAAATGTAGCAATATCTGATAATGAAATTAAAAATGTAGTACCTGAGGAGAATTGGTCAATCCGTGAGTGTACAAAATCTTTCATGAAGAATGATAACAATGAAGAATTATTAAATCCACCAGATTGCTCTTGGGAAGAGGAACTTTATTTTAAGGGATCTACAGCTGTTTGGTCTAAAGGTGATAGAATTGTCACATGTTATAGATAATTTACAACTGCTGTTATTAAGTACTTTGTTGGTAAATTATTAAATTTAATTAGCATCCCATAGGTGTTTTTGGAAGAAAATTTGATTTGATTATTTTAATAGGCAGTGTCAAGGTCATTATTGTTGTATATTTAGTATAACAAAACTTATTATGTTTATTAAATATAATAAAATGTACTGTATAATTAGTATACAAAAACTTTGAAATCTCAATGAATGTTAAAATCATATGTTAGATTCTGTTCTATATTTTATTGTTTATGTAATTTTGTAAAAAATACATTATTATATTATTTTTCTAAAATATTCCTTATTTAATTCAGTATATAACTTTGATATCAATTTGTCTTTCTAGGATCCTTATCCAGTTTAAATTTAGATAATCAAAATGAATCCAGAAGTGTAATAGCATGTTATACTTGTGAATCTCCAATTCGACATGCCATATTTTGTAACTTTTATTCCTCAATTGATAATAAAATATTAAAAAATAATGTTATGAACATTGAGATAGATACAAATGAAACAGATTTATATTCTCCAATTGGGGAAGCAATACCTGCAATTTGTATTATTGACACATTCAATATTAAAGTGTTTACTGAAAAAGGTGAAGATTTTATAACAAGTTTACAGTTCCAAGTGCAAAAAATATGGACTACCAAATTTGGTAAGAGAAAACCCTTCTTACTTTTTATTGCAATGTTTTGTTTTGTTTGAAGATTAAATATACTGATCTTTATATATAAAACAATGAAGCTATTAAAGAATTCTATATCTATCTGAAGTTCATTCATAATGTTTAAATCATATATTACTTTGAATTTCATGTTTTGTATATTATTTTTTCAAGGAGTTTTATTAGAGAAGGATCAAGTACCTGACTTGGTTAGTATGTCAAAGCTTCACTCCAACATTTCTCATGGAGATGGGTTACATAGAACTTCAGAATCTCCTAAATTACCAACGTTATTTTCTTTATCACATCCTTTAGATGAGATGTGCCCTCTTATAATGAAACATAGTTCTGGCGCCTATAGTTACTTCAATGATAAAACTATGAAGGTTTGCTAAAATATATATATAAATATATATATATATATATATATATATATATATATATATATTTGGCTTTATTAGTTATTTTTGATCAAATTCAAAACATGCTTATATATTATTGAAATATTGAATAATATTTTCTGTATATAATCTAAATTTAATTTTTTTAGGTAGTGTTCTCATGTGCCGATCCCAGCTTAATTTTAGTATATGATGTAAGAAGCAATTTACATAGTGCATATCGTTTAAGAAGAGCTCGAAGACGTGAATTTCAGGATCTGTGCACAACTTTATGCCAGCAAAGTTCAGCCACATCATTAATGACACATTTAGCAAATAATAGTTCAAGCATGGCACAGTTTGGTGATTCCATGAAAATGCCAATTAGTAAGTTATAAAATAATTCTTTATTATACATTATCGATTACAATGAACATTAAAAAAATTAAATTTTTTGTACTTAAACAATATTTTATTCATCTGCATATCAGTTATGTCCCCGTAAAATTAAAATCAATACAATAAAAATAACCATAAAGTAATTTGTTAACAAAAATGGCTGAGTATGTTGCGCTTTTTGCAGGCATATTACATAGCAAACATAGCAGTATTGGAGGGACTACTGTTGCAGGTTCCAGCCCATTTTCCAGTCCAGGGCTATTTGCTTCTCCACTTCCTTGTTCCTCATATAGCACCCCTTTTGGCACACCCAGTCATACTGGATACAATTCTAGTCCATTTTCTAATGTCAGGTAAGATGATTTCTTACATATTTTTTTCTAACACCTTTATTGTATTGTTATTTTGTTATAAAGAATTATTTAATTAACTAAAAATATAAATAATATTTGTTTCAGTCGAAGTGCAATTGGTGTTGGAACTGCATCGTCATTAGCGCGTCTAAGTTTCCAAAGAGCTCAATCACCACTAAATTCCATTAGTCAAGCAGGTAATTGAAATCATATTGTTCTACCTTTTAATCATTATGTTTTCAGTAAAGATTGTAATATGCTCTGTGAAAAATCAGTATATATTTATCTTAATTAAGATTCAGATAAATTAATTTATCTAAGAAATATATATATAGATCTACAATCAAATATTGGATTTCTAAATATTTGAGCACATATAGTTCATTTTTTATTTTAATTACAGGAACAACTACAAATAGTATGTCTAACATATCATCACTTCGAGATATAACAATGGGAAGCAAGGCTCCTCTAGAACACCCTGCGACACAAGCCAAACCTCTATATCCTGATTTATGTTTAGAATATGTTTGGACAGAATCCCAAACTCCCAAAAGGTTATTATGTTGATGATTATAATTTTGAGAAATGTAGATTTAATGCTGTAGATTTGTTTTTGCAATTGGTTAGTTTACAAAATTTGTTTATCATATTGACCAAGTGCTTGCAGGTTTTGCTCTTTATAAAGATTAAAATTTTCAGTTTTAAATAAACTGATAGCTTTTAAATATATTTGCTAGTTTTAAATATATTTGCTAGTTTCTAAAATCATGAGCTTATTTTTTAGACTGCCTGCAGCAAATATACCATTTGAAGAGCAAGCATCCCATTGTTTTCTCCATACAGATTTAGTTGGATTGACATACTTGTGCTATCTTCAACCCATAAAGATGTGTTTAAATATTGTTAGAATCTTGAATGCTAATGATCCGATTAAATTAATATTTAGCACTGCTACTGCAATTACTGCTAAAGATGCAATTGCGTTACCTGTAAGTTTTTTTTAAATATAATTTAAATTATATTGCATATTATTAAACTAGAAAAAGTTAATTCCATTTTAATAAAATTAATAAAAAGACATTGTGATGAGTTTGTCTTTTGCTTTTTAGTTTATTAATTCATGTTATACTTCGTTTTCAGAAAATGAAAATGATACTTGTGTTGGATGTTTCAAACAATCTAATTTTATATTCTGGTAGCAATTCTGTGGGAAAAATTCATGTTTCTGGTGTTTTATCTTCAGATTTTGTACCAGGAATAACACCAACTTTATCCTGTTCTTTTGCATCAGGGTCACCTTTTCCAAGGTAAAGTCTTATAGAGCAAGCAGCAGAAATTAAATTTTTATAAATAATGAATAATTGCACCCTAATTTTTATATTTTACACATCTCTTTATGTAAATATATTACAGTTCGGAATTATTACTATGGACAATGTACATGAAACACTTTAGTCCCAAGAATTTATAATAAAATATATATAATTTTTTATATTTTTATATATAAATTGAATTCGGAATAAAATTATTTTTAGGCGAAGCAGTCTTTTGCCCTCCTCTCAATCTTTACCTGATAAACATTTGGAAGACTTTCATGCAATTTCCCCAGTAGCACCAGTAAAGGCAACAAGATCAGGCTTAAGAAAAATGGCTTCTGGTAATCAATTTATTATACAGGTAATTAAATTTTTAACACTAAATGCATTAGTCTTTTTTATTTATTTAATATATGTTGAATTGTTAAATTTGAAAATAGGGTTTGAGAGATTCCATTGGTCACCATGTATCATTGCGATATCCTTCTGATAAATATTATAGAATAACTATGCCACCTATATCAACTTGTGCTTTTATAAAAAAATGTTTGTCTGTGCTAAGACAAATTCTACCAAGAGATTTAGCAATGTTGGTAAGTTTTGTTTGTATTAATTATGGTTATATTTCGAATATATAATAACAATATTATTAAATCTAAAAACAATGTTTTTCAAATTTGATTTGCATTAACATTATAATATTAAATATTATACTTGATTTTGTTCATATATGTGTTCAACATGTATATTCATATACAATGTTACATTTGATTTTGTTCATTTTATTTTGATTTTCAGTTAATGATCAGGTGGTATGGAGTGAGGAATGCTCCGGGCTCTCAAAATATCAGTGTAAAAGAAGAATGGGAATCATTTCAAAACTTGCTGCTAAGTTAGTGAAGTATATTGCTATAGATTAAATATTTTTTTTGCAAAAAATAAATCACTGCAGTTCAAAATATGAGATGGTATACTTTACTTTTTTTGACTCTTTCATGTTTTTTATGTAATGAATTACTATCTCAATATCAGTTTATAAGCCACGATTAAATTTATGAAATTTTACCGTTCTTCATCCTTTTTTTGTAATTATAGAACTTCTGGGTTATGATACAAATAGCCTTATTCTAACACAAGATTCAAATAAAACTCTTGATACAAAGCCGGAGCCCAAAAAACCGAAAACGTCTTATGAACCTTCAAATGCTGATTGGGAGTATCTAATATCATCAAAACGCCATTGCGAATTATCAAACTCAATAATAAAAGTTATGAAATTTAAACCAAACTCTTTAAAACAAAATGCACAACAGGATTGCACTATGGTTATGCAAGGAATAAAAATAAATACTGAAGCACCACTTTTTACAAACTTACCTATAATATTATTTTCTTTGCATTTGATGTATGAAGAACTCAAACTGCTCAGCGATTATGAGTCCCACCTTAAACCCCTGGCCAGATTGTTAAATCAACTATCATATGATTTAAGATTATCCAAATATACAGAACATTATTGGAAAGATTTTCCAGAATGTTGTAAAATGAAAATGCAATTCAATGATTCTCAGTTGACTGATAGTTGTCTGAAGAAATTAACGTACCCAAGTTATATGATGGAAAGGCCAGCAGAGATTTTTAAGCAAGTATATGATATTTTGAATTTAAATCGACCATTGGCTTTTCCTTTTATATGTGGTGTGAACCAAATATCTAAAATACTTGTGCAGGTCAGTATAATACAACATCTTAATTAAATATAATCAATTACATGTGTATATGGTGAACATATAAATCTGTGATTCAATAATCCATTCATTAAAAATATTCTTTCTTCCAATTGTGATGCATATTTCGAGTGACATTTTTAATTGAATAAAATAAAATCTAAATAAATTTTCAACTGACCACAAATTTTGCTGCTCACTAAAAATAATAAGTAACTCAAAGTTTATTTATTTGTTTATTAATTTTTATTAATACAATATCCACAGTTAGCAAATCTATTAGTAAATAAAACTAATAATTTACAAGATTTGGAAAACTGTATCAATAAAATTCCTACACAAGGAGCAAAATATGAATCAAACGAAATTAATTTTAAAGACATCCCAAGTTTGAGTACTGCAAGTTCTGTTGGAGAAATTGCTGTATTGTTTATGAATGCTGTGGGTGAGTTAAATTATGCTACTTGAAACTAGTTAAATAATGTTGAGTATAGTATATAATTATAATCTACTTATAAGGTCTTACGCTGCGAAAGATATCACATTTGCCGTCTAGTTTAGGATTAATGTGCTATTGGGCGATCGAAAGTTGTCGAGAGTATCCACCTACCAACTGGAATTCGGAAGCTTATGCATTGATATTACGTCAAGATCTTAATACAGACTATGCAAAGAGAGGTATTTGATTTTTAGAATTTAGATAAATTAAGTAAATATTTTAGTTTCTTATAATTTTCAGAATTGAGCATTCACTGTGAAACATCATTATCACCACAAAGAAATTTAGTTCCCGATTCATACAATGTTCAATCTACAAATCCTGAAACAGCTGAAGCAGAAGATGGCATGGAAAATATAGAGACACAATTATTAAGATTACGATTTCCCAAAGATTTGCGGTAAATATTTAGACATTCATTTAAATCTTTATTAATCATAGGTTAAAGATGCATAAATTAATATAAAAGTGAATATTTATACAAAAGATTCAAATTTCAAATTTTAAAGAGAGGTAGTTACATATTAATGCAATAACACTTTATTCCAAATTTATTTCAGTATAAATGAAATTCGAAGAATATTGCACAGTGCAACACCTGTTACAATAGACATAACACAGTCACCAGATGTAACCGACCATGAATTTATTGAAGAGCAGGAAAAACAATTATATTCAATTACTACAAGAACGATGGCTCTTCCCGTTGGAAGGTAACTGTAATGAGTCTGCCTTTTGCTAATAATTTTTGCTAAGACTGTTTATTAACTGTTCATATTATTTGCTTCAAATCAAAAATGGTAATTGTGTTAATACCAAATGCAGATTATTGCAAATGTTCATGTTATAGTATTTTAATATGTTTTGGAAATATAATGCATTTTATTGTATATTAATTAGTTAATTTGAGCATGTTTATATTATTTTTCTAGAGGAATGTTTACTTTGCGATCGACTTCTCCTTGTACAACGGAACCACTTCCGATTCCTAAGTTATGTTTGACTGGTAAAGCCCCTCCGCGCGGCGTTACTATTGACTTATCGCATATAGAGGTTGGTTGTTATTTATTCATATTTTTACAACGAAATGAATTTACTTGGTTTTATTTTTTGTTTTATCAGGTTCCACCTCAAATGAATGTGTGGCCTTTATTTCATAATGGCGCTGCTGCTGGACTTCGATTAAGACACGATGACTCCGAAACAGCAATAGAATCAATAGATTCCACTTGGATTGTTTACAATCGCCCTAAAACTAACTCCACTGCAAATAATAATAACAATAATAATAACAGTAATAGTAATAATCCAGATTCTGCTTCTGAACATGCTGGTTTTCTTATGGCATTAGGACTAAATGGACATCTGAAGACACTGTCATATATGAGTGTTTATGAATATCTGGTTAAATGTAATGAAATGACTAGTGTCGGATTGTTGCTAGGAATATCTGCTACTCATAGAGGTAAAGTGCAGAAATATACTTATTTTGTTATTATTTTCTGAACTGTTTTATGATTGCAGTCAGTTTTTCTGTAAATTAATAGATATTGACTACATAAAGCTTTAATGCATTTAAAATTTTTATTTGCCATTTTGTCCAAGGATTGATTGAGTAACAAAATTGAAAGTAATATGATAAGCGAATTATATATTTTTTTTATTGCATATTAATAATATTATTAGGGACCATGGATATTTCTACAACAAAGCTATTGAGTATACATTTGGAAGCCTTATTACCACCTACATCTATTGAACTAGATATTCCGCAAACCATACAGGTATATCCTTTTTATTATTATTTCTAATATTTATTCAACAATGTGATTTTTGACCTCTGCCTATTTTAGGTTGCTGCTCTACTAGGTGTAGGTTTAGTATACCAACGTACTGCAAACAGACACATGGCTGAAGTTTTGCTCTCTGAAATAGGTAATATTGTTAATAATATATACAAATTATTTACAGTAAAAATATTATTATAGATTCAGTAGTATTGAACATACTTTTTGAAATATTCCTTATTTAGAAAAAATATGATATTGTAATATATTTCATTATGAATTTATGAAAGAGGAAATATTTTCTGGAGGTAGTGTTATGATAAACCATCACTGTTTAGTTATGGAAACTACCAACGGATTTTGAATATAGCCATTAAGCTGAAAATCTTGAAAAACTATTAAAACTACTTCTGCATAAATAGGAAATGAGATTACAATTTTTCATATATTTAGAGATCTTTATTTATTATAGGACGCCCACCTGGTCCTGAAATGGAGAACAGTGTCGAACGTGAATCTTACTCTTTAGCGGCTGGTTTAGCACTTGGTCTGGTTACTCTTGGACATGGAGGTGTGACTTCTGCTTTGACAGACCTAGCAATTCCTGATACTCTTCATTACTACATGGTGGGAGGAAATAAAAGACCACTTACAGGTATAATAATAAATAAAAAAATAATCAAAATTTACATTGTCTAGAATTCAATCGGAATTAGTGTACATGATTAATAGGATGTTTGAAGTCAAAAATAACATATTGTTCATAAAAGTACAAAGTAAACATGTGTCTTCATGAAATATTAAAAATATTTAAGCAATCAAGTAGTAGTAGTAGTAGTAGTAGTAGAAGAAGTACAAAAATAGTAATAGATTTTTTGGGCCTAATTAAAACCAGTTTAATAATTCATTTTCAGGATCCCAGAAAGACAAATATAAGCAGCCATCATTTCAAATTCGAGAGGGCGACAGTGTTAATATTGATGTAACTGCTCCTGGTGCTACATTAGCACTTGGACTAATGTTTTTTGGAACTTCAAATCAAACTATTGCTGATTGGATGAAACCAGCAGAAACTCATTATATGTTAGATTTTGTTAGACCCGATCTTTTATTACTCAGAACCATATCAAGAGGTAAGTATAATCTTTTGACACATAATATTTTTGTGCTTTGCTTTTTATTGCATCTTATATTATATGATTTGATTATATATTAGAATATTTGTAGGTCTTATATTATGGAATGAAATACGCCCAACTGAAAATTGGATAGAAGATCAAGTACCAGTAGTATTTAGAAAATATTGTTTATGCACTCCAAACCCAGATTATCAAGTTGATGTGGATTATGAAGGATTGAAGTAAGCATTTATGCATTTAATAATATTAACTGATTTAAAGCCAAACAATTAGCAAATGAAATTTTCTTAAAGTTCTTAAGGAACGAAAAATAAACGTTTTATTTTCTAGTCAAGCATATTGTAATATTCTGGCTGGAGCTTGTTTCTGTATTGGCTTAAAGTATGCAGGTTCGAATGATCAGAAAGCTTACGAACTATTACTGAAGTATACACAAAGATTTATGCGGCTTGGAGGACGCGCTATAGCTGAATTGGCCGGAAAATCAACCATTGAAACTTGTATGAATTTAATACTGATATCATTAGCCATGGTACGTAAATTTTCAATAAAAAAAATTTGCAATTTATTTGCCATTATTGTTAAAAATTTAAATGCTGTTCATGTATATCAATCTTTCTTAATCATGGCAGCATCCATTTTTTTCTTATGGGTTGTTTTAGTTAGACCTTTCTAGTTTTGCCAGAAATGATTTCAAAACTTTCTAGTTAACTGTGGTGTGCCGAGCCACTCTACCAATATGATTCAGGGTGCCGCCTGAAATATATAACCAGGTTCTGGGGGAGAAGAATTATAACCAAATTTATCTTTCAAACATTTTTATTAACTAGTGGGATGCATGGCATCGTGCCTTAATTCAAATTGCTAGAACTTCCCATACTGAAATTAAAAATCTTGGTACTGAACCCAAAAAAAATTACACAAAATATGTACACAGTATTAAAATCTCTATAAAATATCTGATAATTTGATGTACATAAGTCCAATGGGTGTAAAATTACTACAATGTTTGTAAACAATACTACAATGGGTGTAAAATTACTACAATGTTTGTCAACGAAACAACAATGGGTGTAAAATTACTACAATGTTTGTAAACAACACTACAATGGGTGTAAAATTACTACAATGTTTGTAAACAATACTACAATGGGTGTAAAATTACTACAATGTTTGTAAACAATACTACAATGGGTGTAAAATTACTACAATGTTTGTAAACAATACTACAATGGGTGTAAAATTACTACAATGTTTGTAAACAATACTACAATGGGTGTAAAATTACTACAATGTTTGTAAAAATACTACAATGGGTGTAAAAATACTACAATGTTTGTAAAAATACTACAATGGGTGTAAAATTACTACAATGTTTGTAAAAATACTACAATGGGTGTAAAATTACTACAATGTTTGTAAATAATACTACAATGGGTGTAAAATTACTACAATGTTTGTAAACAATACTACAATGGGTGTAAAATTACTACAATGTTTGTAAACAATACTACAATGGGTGTAAAATTACTACAATGCTTGTAAAAATACTACAATGGGTGTAAAAATACTACACTGTTTGTAAACAATACTACAATGGGTGTAAAAATACTATAATGTTTGTAAAAATAATACAATGGGTGTAAAATTACTACAATGTTTGTAAAAATACTACAATGAGTGCAAAATTACTACAATGTTTGTAAAAATACTACAATGGGTGTAAAATTACTACAATGTTTGTAAAATTACTACATAGTTTGTAAAATACTACAATGGGTGTAAAATTGATTGAAACATATGTTTGTAAACAATACTACAATGGGTGTAAAATTACTACAATGATTGCAAAAATACTATAATGGGTGTAAAATTACTACAATGTTTGTAAACAATACTACAATGGGTGTAAAAATACTACAATAGGTGTAAAATTACTACAATGTTTGTAAACAATACTACAATGGGTGTAAAAATACTACAATGTTTGTAAAAATACTACAATGGGTGTAAAATTTCTACAATGTTTGTAAACAATACTACAATGGGTGTAAAATTACTACAATGTTTGTAAAAATACTACAATGGGTGTGAAATTACTACAATGTTTGTAAACAATACTACAATGGGTGTAAAATTACTACAATTATATTTCAACATTTTTTCTTATTTTTTTGGCACGTGTGCCATAGGTTGCCGATGCCTGTTCTAGACCATATGTAGAAATTTTCTCAATCAATTGAAAAATAAATTCAGCAGACAGTTCTTAAGTACGTAATATTATTAACAACAACCGTTTTTTTGCAGGTAATGGCTGGGTCGGGTGATCTGATGACCCTTCGTATCTGTCGATTGCTAAGGGCCAGGGTTGGGGTAGCTGGCACCGCAACTGCTACATATGGGTCACATCTAGCAACGCACATGGCAGCAGGATTGTTGTTATTAGGAGCCGGGCGGTATACACTGAGCACCAGCCCTGAGAGTGTAGCAGCTCTGGTTTGTGCATTCTTTCCCAAGTTTCCCACTCACAGTAATGATAATAGGTAAGAAACTAACCCTCATTACTTTAATAAAAAAATATTGTGTTCAAAATTTTATTGCTCACCTCTAATAAATTTTATTCACTTTTATAATAGAAGTAAAGACAATTTCATGATACACAAGAACATTAATTATCATGCATTTTTCCGTTAGCGACTTTAAAATAATTTACTGTTGAAGAATGAAGAAACTTTAAACATTGAAAATTAAATCATACTAAAAAATTAATTCAAAATAATTTTCTTTCAGATATCATTTACAAGCATTCAGACATCTTTATGTGTTAGCAGTAGAACCACGAATTCTAATACCTCGTGATATAGATTCTGGATTATTGTGCTATAGTAATGTTACTGTAGTTTACGCCGATTCTAATTCAGAAGAAAAATTGAAAGCTCCTTGCTTTCTACCAGAATTGCATAAGTTGAAAAAGGTTCAAATTGATGATGAAAGATATTGGCCTATTGTTTTTGAAAGAGAGAGAAACTGGGACTTACTCAGGTAAGAACAATAAATGTTGAATTAAATATCTGTTAGATAATATTAGTGACTAATTTTATTATTATGCACAATTTTGGTATCATGAAATTTTGAGGTTTTTTATATAATAGGCATTTCATAATGTCTACCTTTTTTTTGTTACGAATTTTATTACTACTTTAAATAATTATATAGCTCTTCTCATTAAATCATTTTTTTTATTTGAACTTTTATAAATAATATATAACATTCTTTGGTCTCCATTACGAATTTTTAATTCATTTTAGGAAACTTTTATCTAATTGCTATTGTTTGGATATAAAACAACGTGCCGGATGTTTACCTTATGAAGAAGATCCAGAAGGCTTTAAAACACTTGTAGCGCAAACATTAACAACAGACGTTTCTAATATTTGGAGTGTGCTATCTGATAATATATTTTCCTTTTCAAGTGATCCTGCAGTTTTGAACTTTACTCAGCAATTTTTATCATACAATAAAGATAAAATTAGCCGTTCCGAAAGAGATTTGATAGAAAAATTATCAATACAAACATATGAGTGTGTTACTAGAGATATGTTACATATATTACCTCAAAGAATTAGCTTAATAATGTGTCTTCAAGACTTCAAAAATAATCCTACAGTATATGCAATATGGCAAATGAAATTATTGTCTAGTCTTGTGGAGACTTGTTCTGTACGTAATTCTATGGAAAGATTAATTTCTCATGAAACTGCATTATCTATGATACAGTATTTAACTTATATTCTTAATTCATGGGAGAGTGATATTTCAACATTAGTTTTACAATACACAAATTCTGTTATTCCTTCTGATGTTCCTTTAGATTTAATGCATAAACTCATATCTTATTTAACTTTTCATGAAATAAATAATAATATAAGTGTAAATGAATTAAATCATTTAAATCCAATCGAAATTATTAAAAAATCGTTAGATAATAATATTTATCCTAAAATTCTGTTAAAATTATCAAATCTAGTTGCTAAAATTTGAATCTGAGCAGTTGGGTAATTTGAAAAAAACAAAAGATAAATTATATCCAACTTCATTGTAATCAATGGTTTAATAAAAATTCTTGTTAAAATAAAGGTGGTTTATTTTAACAACAAATTGTGTAATTGCCTTCAAATTATAAGTTGAGGTGAGTTTTTATCATTATCAATATATTTGAAAAAAAAAATGAAGTGTGTTAAATCAGATCTGGGGTTTTCAGATCTCAAAATGCTTCGTTGCAAAATTGTGCCGTCGTCTTGGATGTCACATCTCGTTCAGGGCTATGTACGTGGTTTGAGCACAGATCCCACACCAAAAGTGGCATTTGAAAAAGTGGGGGAAAAGAGTGAAATTAACGAATCCATATCGATTCCGCCATCGACGTCCGATCCTTTGGAAGCTCTGCGGAAAACGGAAAGCTCTACTAATGCCCTGAGCGATTCTACCCGTGGTCAATCCGATCAGGTGACAACCACGAGCACTTTGACCGGCGGGGCAGCCACAGCCGTAGGTACCGTTCCTCCTGAAGAGACTCGCAGCTTATTTGCAGAATGGGAGGAGGCTATGGCCAAAAAGAGCTCTATATTCGCCAACCAATTCGATGTGGCCAACTACCCCGGCGATCAGGCTTTGAAACAGAACCTCAGTTTCGACGAAGTTCCTGGTCCGGCTGTTTTGAAATACATAGCTCAGGCGTGGAGTTACATACCTGTCGTTGGTACGCAGCTTACAGCTTGCGCAATGATTCTTGCGTTGAATGCTGGTACTTACCAATTAATTTCACGTTTTATTCAGAAAATTTTCGGTTGCTAAATTCGGTTACGGCGATTTTTTGTTCATACAACGCAAGTTTCAGTTAACGCAAAACTGCTGCTTTTTTCGCCTTATAACTTGAATTTAGCAATATTTAGCTTATGCTTTGAAGTTTCTCTAATCCTTTATGTTTCATAAATTGGGACAGCCATATCTTGGTGAAATTTGGTGAAGCATCAACCTTTTCTAATTAAATTATGAATGTTCCAAAAGTAGTAAATTTAATTTGGAAAAGCTAATGACTTGCATAAAATAGAATCGTATCATATTTAGTTTGGATTATCTATAATTTGTTTAAAATACTATGCTTGAAACATCAAATTTGTTTAGTTACTGCTATGACAGTTTTTTAATATTTCTATAAATTGATTTAATTTGATCAAACATACACAGCATAAAAAATTTAATAATCAAATAATTCATATTAATAGAAAAGCCTCATATTACTCTTAAACGACCCATAGCTAATTTATAAAACGCTATTATTGCTGTACTAATAGTGCTAATAATATTGGAATTTATTGTTCACTATCCTCTATTCTTATTGTTTCGTGTAGCATTGTTTGTTATTCTAGGTAAGACCCTACAATGGTCTCGAAACGTACAGCCTTTTGATAGACTATTCGATCGATATGGACCTGTTGTAAGATTAAGGGGTCCTTTTGGCGGAGATTTAGTTCTTCTTAACCGACCTGAACATATGGAAGCAGTTTATAAACAAGAGGGCAGATTTCCTGTACGATCTAGCTTAGATTGTGTTGAACACTATAGAAGGGAATACAGAAGATACCAAAGTCCTGGACCATTTATTATGTAAGTTGCAAAATGGTTTATATGCATGATTTCCGATTAACTTAAATCTTTTTAGTTGTGGACCAGATTGGGAACGTTTGCGAGCAAAGATTGACAATCCATTGCAAAGGAGTGCAGCTTTGTTGCATGGCAAAATTGAGAATGCTTGTGAAGAATTAGTAGCTAGAGTTATGCGCATTCGAAATAGACAAGAAGAGGTGCCTGAAGATTTTCAGCAAGAGTTATTTAAGTGGAGTATGGAGTCTTTATGTGAGTAATATTATGCAATCAAATAATAGTCAGTTGACAATTGTACAATGTGTGATCTGTACAATATGATGATTTGTGAATAGGTATTTGAAAACATTGTTACTTTATCCTTTTTGTTAAAGGTGCTGTACTGTTCTCGAAGAGATCTGGGTTTTTAGACCCTCATGGTGTAGCATTTAATTCAGAACAAGCGCGATTGCTGGATGCAATGCATGCTGCTACAAATAGCATTAAGAGTTGTGAAACTGGTCTTCAGACATGGCGTTTCTATGAGAGCCATTCTTGGAAATCTCTTGTATCCAACTGTGATATTATTGATTCGTTAGTATAAAAATATTTTAAAATGCATTATTATTTTTTCAATATTTTGATTGCTTGTTTTAACAAATATTAAGGTACATAATTACTTAATTAAAAATATTATTGGATATTTTTGCTCACAATCGAATGTATCTAGTATAATGATAGATAATAGTAATTATATGCAGGATCATAAGTAAACACATCAGATTGGCGCAAAGTAGCTTAAGAGCAAAAAAAGAACGTCTGGAGGGAAGAGCGGCTGATGAAGGTGCTCAATCCGCTATAGATACTACAGCAGCAGCGAATGAAAAAAGTAATTTAATTATTTTCCTGCTTTGAATTTAAAACTTTTTATAACAAATTCAATATTTTATATTGTAGGTTGTGATATTTTTGGATCCTTTGCATCCACCCCTGAATTGCCTTTAATCGAAACCTTACTGCTTCGAGAGGGTATGCAGGCTGAGGACATACTGACTGTGCTCCTGGACATGATTCTTATTGGCGCAAATGCTGTATGTTATTATAATAGAATTAAGATAATATAGTTACTCATATATATATATATATATATATATATATATATATATATAAATAATTATAATTTGTACAGACAACTAGTGCGATAAGTTTTGTGCTTTATCACTTGGCCAAATCTCAAAGATCTCAAAGAGTTTTGTTTGATGAACTGTCGAGAGTAATGCCTACTAGGGACAGCAGATTGACACCACAAGCTTTACAGGATTGCCCATATTTAAAAGCATGTGTAATGGAAAGTTTAAGGTAAATTTATTGAAATATGTTGGAAAGAAATCAAGAAATCTATTGGACTGAGATATGAACAATTAGTACGTTAGAAGTTCTGCCAAAAATAGCGTATTTTTTCTTTTATGACAAGCATATCACTTTTTACTTTTTTTTTAACATAGCATTAATAATCCGTTTCATTCATTAATTATCAATACTATTATTTTCAGGCTCAAACCTCCAATTCCTGTCATAACCAGAATCCTTCCTAAGGAAATAACCCTCCACAGCTATAAGTATGCTCCTATTTGAACCTTTTCCTGAACCTATGATCCTTATTTTACTATTTTTCTTTAGCATTCCTAAGGGAACATATATGTTGATGGCAAATCAAATTGCGTGTCTTCGAGAAGAAAACTTTGAAGACGCTAAAAAGTTCATGCCTGAACGTTGGATGAGGTGTGATGAACGTGACATACATCCATTTGCCACCATTCCATTTGGTTATGGTCCTAGAAATTGTCTTGGTAAAGGAACGGCACAAAGACAATTATGGCTTGTCACTGCTAAGGTAATAGTCATCTTCAAACATATTAACAAGTACAAGTTTCTGTGTTTGAAATGCAGTTACAGCTATCATTTCTCATAATAATCATTTGGGGCAAAAATCATTGTAGTACAACCATAATATTCTTATGTTATTTTATAATTTATTCATATTTTATGCAGAAGATGTATCTATTTTATTTTTACAAACTTATCTAGAATTCTTTTATATAAAAAAGATATCATATTTTCGATTGATGAATATCAAAACAAAAAAAATATCAAGTGGCTTATTCAAAGTAATTTAATATTGAGCATTTTCTCAAACAAATTATATTTTTGGTGGTTATATTAACAATATGTTACAAATTGGTTACAGCTGATTCGTAATTTCAAGATAGAGTATCACTATGGCGATATTGGTTCTTCAACAAAACTGTTTTGTGAGCCAAATCGACATTTGAAGTTTAGATTTGTAGATCGAGATTAATTTAAGTCAGTTGGCTATTATAAAAGGAACATCATAAGCAGTTTTAAGAAGTTTAAGTGTGATGTCTATGTAACTTTTGTTGTATTTGTTTTGTCTTTGTCAGAAGTAAAAATTAAACAGGTGAATATATGTTCAATTCATATTTTTCCTTTAATAGCTTTCAATAAACTGCTATGAACAAACTGGTCTTATTACTAATATAATATGACAAAGAATATTTTACTATTTCATGTTATTATCTATAAGTTCCTGAGCTGTTTCTTCTGTTATATGAATAATACCTGATTTGATATCTTTCAAAAACTGTTTTCGTTTTTCATTTAAACATTCTGATAATATTTTGATTTGTACATTATCATTCTGCAAACTATTTGTAATTATATTGTTAATACATTTTCTAATCAACAAATCTACTTTATGTAAGAAACTTTGTTCTATTACTATTTTAGGATAAATAGTATTCTTAATTGGATATAAAAAACTATTCCTTGTATGGTTAGCAATTTCAATCAGGGTGTCATAAGAAAAACCTTTATCTGAGTTAATAGTTATGGAATTTTTTTCCCAATAGTTCTTATTTTCTGGAACTTCTAAACGTATTAACATTCTTTCAATTACTTCTTCCGATATTCTGCTATTTTCACATCTTATAGAATTTCTATTTTTAGCTAATGGCAAAGAGATTTTTAAAAATATTTGGTAAAATGATATTTCTGAGCATCTGCATATTTGAAAATACTTATATCTCATACTGCGATAATATGAATTATCATCTATAATAATAATTACATTATTGACTAGTGTATATTTAATGTTAGACAAAATGAACTTTTGTATATTAGTTAAAACATTTTGGGCTTTATTGTGTAAAAAATCAACAAGATGATGTATTGTTTGAGATATTTCATTTCTGATTTTATTATAAGGTTCATTGGAAAATTGATCTTCAGCTTTAACTTTTTGAATTAAAATATCATAATTTATATGTATGACATTAATTTGAAAATTATTTCTTAAATTCTCAACTAAATATTCAGATAGAGTTGTTTTACCTGCCCCAGGAATACCAATAAGTGGAACAATGCAAATATTTTCCATAATGATAAATAATTTCACTAAATTTGTAACAAATGCGACTATATTATTTAATAACAAACTAAACCACAAAAGTAATTAAGTTGTTGGATTATTTGTGCTTAATGGTTCTGTGGTTACTGCTAACTGTTCTTTATTTGGTAACGCTATCACTGAATTCTGTTCCTGAACTTCATTAATTCTCTTCTGAGTTAGTGCAGACTGTACTTCTACATACACTCCCATAACCCGATGGTTAATGTTCACAAACTTTTGTGCACAATTTTCCACACATTTTTCTTCATAAGGTGATAATGTTCTTGAATTAAAATTATCAACACAGCGTAAGAAACATTTTTCTGATACTTGGTTGAACATCAACAGGAAGTCTTTAAACTAAAATAAAGTTTAACATATCAATCAAGAATTTTTAAAAGATATATTTGTCAAATTCATATATCAAGTTAACAAATTAAGATTTAATATATATAAAAGATAAACTAGTAATTATTAGATTAACATTGTTAAATAAACTTTAAATCTTTATTCTTACTTACATTTCGAAGTTGAAGTGAATCCATTTCCTATAATTGACTAAAACTTTTTAAATATTTAATAATTCAATCTTCACTCATGTTAAATCATCATTTTTATGTTAATTTTGAGGTTATGTGAACAAGAAATAAAACTTTTCAAGTAGGATAATCAGCTGTTAAAACGTGATTCAACTGGAACATAAATGTCAACGCAAAACATTTATTAGTATATGTACATTGATTTCTTAATAATATAACTCATTATCATACTTCTTAGTAATCTATTGCAAGAATTTTTATCAACTGTTTTTAAATGATTCGTGAAGTGTCCATTGTTGAAGTAAACTTAAGTGTGTGTTAAAAATATTTTGTTCTTACATTTGGCTACAAACATAAATTCTTATTTTCCTTACAACTATTTTTATATTGTTTCTTTAATTAAATCTTGTGTATGTAATATTTGTATAACTTAATCGAGTTATAAAATTTCTATCAAAACGTCGTACATGCAAAATGATGCAGATTTTAAATTATACTTTTAAACTCAAGAAATAAATATGGAGGTGAATCCTTTAAGTATAATTTTAGTAAAATCTGATAGCAAAGGCGACAGGCTCTTGTTTCGATATCCTTATGTGGCTGATATACAAAATGTATCAAGCGCACAAAATAAAAGAAGGAATCCTTATTCTATGATTATTGTCGAGGATCTACTGCAAAATCCTGTACCTCAGACTTCAAATATAAATAAAGGTTTGAAAACTTTAACTTGTTCACATTTCACTTTGTTCTTTTAAAAACATTTTACAATGGAGAATTTCTTGTTCAAATATAGTTTAGCAGTTATTACAAATTACCATTGATTTAGTAAAAAGATATACATATACATTCGATATTGGAATTTGTGTTAATTCTATATATTTTTACTCTGAATCATATTTATATAATAATTAATCTTATCTTTATTTCAGGACAGTTGACAGGTTTTGCTGATGAAGTTTTATCAACTTTATTTGCCGTTAAACCAGAATTGTGCAATAAAAAGTTTGAATTAAAAGTTAATGATGTACGGTTTGTTGGGCACCCAACATTGCTCCAGTCGAAAGGAGCGAGAGAAGACTGTGCATCACATATACTTGTGAATATTGTATTTGCACTGCATGCACAGGCTAGCCATTCAATCGGTAAGAAAAGTGTTATATTTAATTACTATTTTTTTAGCTTATATTTTGTTTTATGTCTTTAAGTATCATTAACTAATATAATATGTACCAAAATTCTATTTTCAGAGATTATTAATATTTACTAAATTAATCAGTGTGATAAGATTGTAGTTTTAAAGATTATTTAATAATTATATTTTTTATTACTATCCTCATGAGTTATTATATTTTGTAGTGAAATGTTATTATGATTTAAGTAAACGTTTGGGAACTGCAATTAAGCATGAAGAGCAAAGAGTTGCATATCTGTCTGAGGAAACTAAGATTATGGTATGATATTTTTCATATTTTATTTTTTACTTTAGATTGAATGTAATAAAATTAATTATTGCTGTACTTATTTTTAAAATTATGTTGTTTGCTATTGTTTTAATTTATAATTTTAGATTGCGGCCCATGATGAGCTTGCTGCCAATATTGATACAACATTATCTTCTTCTCCCTTTGATCTTATATTGAAACGATCAACTTTAGCACAATCTCTAAAAACAACATTTGATGATGTGAGCAATACAGGACTAGTCAATTTGCAAATTAATCGATATTTAACAGTTAATTTTTGTTTGCCACAAAAAGCACATCAATTTCATAAACCAGGAATAATTGTGGAACCAGAGTCAATAGAGAAATGTTTGAAATCATTGAGACCTTATCATGGAATGTTACTTTTGGTAAGAAGAGAATATCACTTTATACATATTTTAGATATTTTTGCTAAATTAGTTACAACTATGACACTTTAATGTTTTATGTATCAAATACCTATTTGTGACATATTTTATTAAATATTTCATTTTATTTTATTTATTAAATATTTCATCTTATTTAGGTAGACCATATAGAGTTAATGGATTGTGTAGGACAAGAGAACACAAATGCTCTTATCAAAATGATTCAAATGTATAGTCCCCTGAAAAGTCTTCAAGCATTGGCTGCTGATACAGAAATGCCTTTACAACAGGTATTTAATATATAATGAAGGTTTTTAATTTTTAAAAACTCAGCAATTTCAAGTACTTTGCAGATTTAAGGCTGTTTTAGAATAAATAAGTTTAACTATTGTTAAATATAGTTTACGATTCTTTAGAAGTATATGGGAAATATTTTTTATGTGAATATTTATTAACCAACATCAAAATCTATTAAATGATATTTAAATCTTCAATATTGATGCAAAACATTCTTAAGAAAATTTGTGATAATTAAGATTAATGTTTAATTATTTTATGATTTATTTTTCTTTTTGTTTTAGGTTTATCAATTAGTAGGGCATATGGTATACTGGGCTAAGGCTACTATTATTTATCCTCTGTGCGAAAATAATGTTTATGTTATAGCCTCAGATGCGCCGTTATATATAAACTCACCTTTGGTTGAAAAATTTTCAGAACAGTTTCCCGGAACATGTTTATTGGAGGTTTGAAGAGTTTATATTAAATTTAGTTGATATGCAATATGCCATTAAATCATATTAAAAAAAAAAAATACAATTAAGATTAATTGACACATGTATACAGTGTTAACTGGAAAAAATTTGAATTTCAGGTAATAAGTGAGTTTTCTTTAGGAACATGTGTAGCACACAAATTGAGCCCATTACAGCATCCTTCTCAACATTCTCAATTTGTACAAATGTTGGTGTGGATGTTGCAACATCATCTATTAGTTCAGCTTCACACCTATATACAATTCATGGTCCCACAAATAGGTAAGTTAATGCCATACACATATATGTTAAATTATAAAAAATGACTTTCTAATAATAAAAAATCTTTATTTCTAATTATTTTTTGTTTGCACATTATTCGGGGTTTACCATTTTTTAAATTTACTATTTTTTAATTTTAAAATGCTGAAAATTTTTCTTTAGGACCAGAAGATATTAGTCCATGGTTAATGGCCGAGAGACTACTCCTGAAGAACAGTAAAATATGTGTTCATGCTTATAAGTTTATATGATTATTTACATAGTTATCTTGTTTTATTCAATGCATATTGAAATAATTTCAGCATTTATTGGTTCAGTAATGAGTGGCTTCTAGCCTGCCATGCCTGTACCCACAAACATAACAAAAAAATTTAAATAAATGGTGCAGTTCATTCATTCAATGGCGACCCAATGTTTAATTCTCATGGATCTGATTTAGCCTTATCTTCTAGGTGAGTATTAATATATAATGCAATCACTACTAACATGACCTTATTGAAATTATTTTTAGGTCTCACTCACATTCACATTTCAATTTATCAGATGATCTAACAGCTTTACCTAGTTATAGCCACAAATCATCAGCAAGGTATTTTGCTAAGTTAATCAAATTGAATTTTATTTGATTAAAATTATCTACAACTAATGTAAATGCAAATTGCGTTTCACATATTTTTGTTTTTCTCAATTATTTATTCTTGAAATTAAATTCTTATAGAAACAGATGATTCTTTTTATAATTTTATGTTTTGATGCTTGAAAATTTAAATTAATTGTTTCATTAATCTTAGTATACCACCTTCCACATCTTTTGCGAGTACAGAGAATGAGATAAGCTTTGTATCAGTGGATGAGAAAAATGACGATTTGTTTATGGAATTTACTGATTCTGAAAGAGAATACATCATGAAGATTCCAGCTTCTTCAAATCATCAAGATCTGGCATTACTGGCAAGGCTTCGGAAAAAAGGTTTACTTATATATCATTATTACAATGTGAATGATGTCTATGACCTTTTAATATAAAAATTGCTGGGAAAGTTGAAGAAACCATTACATTATTCATATTCATATTATTGAATTAACTTTATTGCCACTATTGTTTATATTTTATATTTTCTTGGAATAATAGGACATAAATATCAACATTTTCTTAAATTATTTTGTTTAAATTTTAGGTTACTTTCAAGGAGAGCATCATTTAGAAGAAATAATGTATAATGAAAATCTTCAAAGATCACAAATTTTGCAACTTCTTGATAAATTTCGAGATGTGTTGATTACTTTCCGAACTGAAGATCCAGTGATTTCAATTTTATACTCTCAGGAATAGATAAATTTTCTGGATACTTTCTTTCTTTTCATGGATGAAAAAGTTAGTTTGGCTTATTTTTAGTAAGTATATTTTAATAAGATAGAATACAGGATTATTTTTTGTGAAGTCAGATAAATATTTTTATATTTATTTTTGGTTTTGAGAGATCTATTTATTAAAATTATTTTTATTTATTACACATTAAGGCTATTTTAAAAATTATCTCAGGAAAATTAACCTATTTTGTATAAATGTGACGATCTATCATATTCTTAATTTTTAAGCATATTGAGAAATTATCATGCGGTGATTTAAAACTTATATCTTTCAATCTGAAATTCTGCGTTTAGCGTTTAAGCAAATTATACAATTACTTCCTCCTCAATATTTTTTTATTCTATTACTTATTAGAGATCTTTTTAAACATCTTTAGTGGATTTCTTAAAAATTACATAGTGCTTATTCCTTTATTGATTTCTGAGCATTTTGAACGCCAAAATTAATATTTTGGTATGCTTATATTAAAACACACATAAATTAATATTCAGTTTAATAAGTTGAGAAAACTGGATCATCCCTTCAATACAAATTGGATCTATTATCAGTTATTAAAATTATACTTAGATTTAAAATATATTGTGAAGTTTTGAAATTTTGCAATTGAAAATTACCAAATATTCGTGATAAAATGATTTTTTTTCAAAAAGTATAATAAGAATTAGTGAAGAACATGAAGAATATTATAAGTTATTGTATTACATAACATGATCTTCAGACTTTTATTAAAAAGATTTTTAAATAATAAACTATAATGCATTACTAATATCATAAATTAGACGTTTAATGTATATGCACAAACATGTGCGTAATATAAGTAAATTTTAAATTTTTTTTATCAGACTTTATCGTTTTCGGTGAGGCCCTTTCTCTTCATTAATTAAGTAAATATCTTCTGTATCTCTCTTGTTCAGACTACTGAATCATGACACTTATTTAGACCAAAACACCCAGAATATATATTTTTTTAATATTTATTAGTTTTTATTTTCGACGCATGGGCTACTACTAAATTTAAAAATGTGCTTTGTTTTTGAACAAACTATATAATTATATAAAACTTGCCGTTTGTTTAGTTTAATTTACTATTATTTAGTGATAAAAGTATGTCTGTGATGTATGAGGTATATTTTACTGCAAATAAGCAATAGCATATTAATTTATTCGATTTAAGTGAAATAACCATTTTTGATGAATGTAAAAATGAATTGTGATTTAGATGCTGCCATTTGAGCAATTATTGATTGAATTAATCTAATCCTGATATCTAGTAGTTATAAAATCAATTGGAAAGCACGATATTTTATCGAATACGCTGTTATGCTTTTGTATATTTTTATATTACAATAAGCCATTTAGAAACTAATTTGTTTTCCTGAAATTTGATCATTGTTTACATCGGTTTAGTTATTTGGTATGTGTAAGTGTTGAATAATACTAGTGTTCGATAAGTGACTATTTTGATGTGCTAATTATTTAACTTTGATGTAAAACTAAAAAACACTTCCTCTATCACACGAGATTATTTGATTCAATTGAATGTTTGTGATTGATATGCGACATTATTGCTGCCTATGGTTAAGTAAATATACTTTCGGAATTTCCTTGCAACCAGTCCGATATCATCATTTCGTAGATCGAATAATAACTACAATAATTTTATATAAATGTCACGTCTCTTC